TAGGCTACAGCGTAGGGATCATTCCTGCTAATAGCGATCAGCGAGTTTAGTGCAAAAACGCATGATGAGCTTGGTGCGTTCCAGCCTGGGTCGCAATTTGCGTAGATGCAAAAACGCATAAAAACTGTTGGTATGGTACCCTCTTAAATTAGTTAGTTTCGGCGATAACATTTGATTTCGAGGTACTTGCAGTTGTTTATTTAGAAAAACCCATCTTTTTATAAGTAGCATTAGCAGCTTCGAATGAGGCAAAAAACACGCACAGAATATTTTGCATCTCGCAATGGAAATAACATTTCTTTTTGTTGAAATTTAGCATTTTCAGTTTCATTTTCTCAATTTTCAGCAATATTTAGCACTTGTCTGCTAGTTAAACGTTTTTTCGGCATCCTTTACCTCGCTGACAAAATTCAGCGCTTTTGGCAAATTCGGCCTCATTTTTCTTTCATCTCGTTTTCACCACCTTTTCACATCAGGCTGCTATGCCCTTTTGGCTAGTGTATTTTGCTTTTTTTTTTTTGTTCGTGAACGCTTTTTGATTCCTCTCAACAAGAAGAGAAGCAACAGCTATTTTTCCTTCCAAGATACGCCATCAATCCATGTAAGCTCGTACGACATAGGCAACGAGAAGCTTCGAGAATGGCACACAAACCTGAACTTTGAGGAACTGATACAGCCCTCTATCAAATGTACGCCACATGCGTGAATAGCTGCTTATACGCGATATGCAGATCGGTCCTTCTGGTGGTCTCATGCCATCAGCCAAAGCAAACCAGGATGGAATTCCGAATATCAACAAGTATTTCATATAAAACAGTTTGCCGTTCAAATAAGCCACGCTCGCAACTGTGAATAATTGATTTTATTCATTGGTTGAATTTTGCTTTCTTGGCTGCTTCAGAGTTTCAACTATTACTTCTTACGAAGCAGAAACGATAGCTTTGTTTTCCTGCCGTGACGAATACAAAAGAAACTTTTCCTGATTAAGATAAAAAATCTTTTGAAGGGGCGATAAACTGTGCTTTGAAAAGCAATCTAAACTTATGCGTAAAACATTTTTGTGGCACACATTGGTGTCGCCCATGGTGCTAACGAGTAACTGCGATTCATCGCTGTATGAAAATTTTTTGCTTCTTAGTGAACATCTAATATCATAATGTGGATGAAGCAACACATAGTGAGTTACCTGTGTAGTTTGTTTATTTGTGTACGTAATTTATCTAATTATAAGTGTTTTTTTACGTTTCTCACTTATATTGCTGTGGCATGCTAAAAAGTCAAAAATACCTCTATACTGACTCTCTTTGAGAGGTTGAGACATCCGGCAAGTAGTTCAGGGCCAACAGCAAACACCCAGTGGCTCGCTTTTTTGAGGGTTTACTTACAAACAGGCTGTTGTTTTGGCACATATAAGCAAGCCATTCACTAAGACTAACATGACTACAGTCAAAGAAGTAAAAACTACAAACCTTGTAACAGCACTAAAATCATTGAAGTCTAAGATACCAGAGCATCACCAAAACGTTTAACAGCAACTTTTTAGGCCTCTGATTCTTTTAAAGTGCCGCCACCTTCTGCCAACAGTTCTATTTCTTAGGATCTCTGTTCAGCTTTCTTCTGACGTGTCTACTCTAATGTCGATCCTTATTTCAAGGTAAAAAACTTAAATGATGCAAAAGCAGGCTTACACGCAGGATTTGTCTGCTTTCAGCCAATGATTTTCGGTTACTATCTAATCCGTGTTGATTTTTAGTTAGAAACTTTGCGTAGTGTTGTTTTTTTTTTTTTTTAGACAGAGAAAAACTTACGCTCATATTCACTTAAAGTACTGAATAAAGCTGGGCTTACGGAAAAAAGTGAGTGTATATAAACTGAATGTAGCAAAGCTTCGAATGCTACAAACCAAAGCACAACACGCAAGAGACGAGCGATTATACTGCTGAAAATTTCGAAAAGTTGTCGTGATAAATGCTTCGGAACCAATGAATAACTTTCGTCCAGAAAAAAATAGTGTCTCCATAAGTGAGCTCAGCGAAAGAAAACCGAACCTCGGTGAACCACTACCAAATGGAACAACCGTTCCTCAATAATGTGAATCTGACGCTCCTATCCTTACCCGTAATCAGTGAAGCTTCCTCGACCAAAGTTTGTCTGTTCGACTTCCGACATTTGCTTATCAAAATCGTCGAATAAAACAATAAGTATAAATGAATATGGCGGATAAAATACATACTGCGCATAGCGCATGATCAGTGGCGCGTCGACGGCTCGAAGTCTATTTCGAGACAAATAAATACAAAAATTGAGTATCTGTAAAATAAGGATATTCGCTTTCCGTCTTTTATTACAAGGATATAATGAAAAAAAACTGCTTCAGTACAAATGATTTTGAGATTATTTTTACGTATTTGTGTGCAAGCCCTATTAAATCTGGCAACATTGTGTGGATCCTAAAATTTGTCAAATTAAGGTTCGATTTTTAAAATAAAAGCGGAGAGCAGTAAAGCATACCTTTACAGCGCTGTATAAGTAATAATTAAACTCTCTATAATAGGCATCTTCGGTCTCGCTAAAATGTGCTACAGAAGTAACTTTGAGCATGAAAATTACGATAAGGCACCAGAAAAACAATTCGTTGCGCAACCAGTGCACCAGAACGCCCAAAATGATCGCTAATCCAATGACCCACATGACGCAGCCAGCGCTAAAATTTATTTTCATAAAAAAAAATTCTTATCGTATGTTTGCGAAAGTAAATCCAAGTTCTGCACTAGTTGTTCTGAATATTTAAACAGCGACCTACTGCAGCATTTTAAATTCTGCTTTCCAGCGCTGAAGCCAGTTCGCTTAAATTTATTTGGAATGTTTAGACCAATTATCAAGTATCTCTCCCCGAACATGTAAACAATCAGGCTCTCGGTCAAATGAGTGGTGTGCAGGATATCATTACAGCCATGCAAGAAAGCAAAATCCGATGGGCAAGACATGTTGCCCGTCTTGCCGATAACCACTGGATGATGAGCATTAGTGAGTAGTATCTCCGAGAAAGTAAATGACCATTCAAGCTATCCCTGAAGAGACGGCACACATACATGGAACAAGCAGTAGGCACTGATTGGAAGTATTCAGCTTGGAATCGAACGGCCTGGCATAACTGTGCTAGGCATGTGGAAACATCCTAATAACATCACTAGCTGCAAAATCCTACACTGACAGTTCGAGCGATCTTGATATTCTTGGTATTTGAATCATCTGTAGCTCGCAGCCTGATTCTCCAATTATTTGGCTGGCAGCTTAAAATAAATAGCTTTTATGAGTGCTTAGGCATTAATGTCAATATCTACTGTTTGCGATAAACGAGTGGACAGACCTTGTCAAATAGATCTGTGCAGCTATCCAGTACAGCAGCATTAAATATTGCGACTGTCTTGGCGCTAACTGCGAACAAAGTTTGAACAGTACTGCAATGAAAGAACATTTTGTACTGTATGTCGCACACAACAAACTTGAACAAAGTATCACATGCACCACAGGGCAGATGTATCCACACGTTTCTGGAGGCAAAATGGGCGGATGAACAGTGCGCGTCAAGAGCAGTCGAATTCAGGTTTGACATGATGAATTCCAATCCCATTTAAAGGGCATGAACTTTTTTCGCTGGAATTATTCAAATTTAAGGCCATGATATGAAAGGTTCATGATAAAAAGGTTCATGATATGAAAGGCTTCCAATTCTAACTTTTCGCTTGGTGTACATCTACTTCCAGAACTGCAGTAGAATTATCCTTACACAAATACATATCCACACATCAAAAACTTTACTATTAGACTTCCCCCACTTGCACATCTACAGAAGTTACGAGCATAAACAGCCTGCTAACATCTTTTCCACTGCAACTCAATCAGCTGATGAGCTGAATCCGCGAGGCGACTAATTCTGCGTACACTGACTCAATCTTTTGCCTTTATTTTAGGGTTTTTCCCATCCTTTTCAGGAATCCCCATCACATTCTTCGGATATATCGTAAGACAAACGATTGTTTGCAAAAATATGGGGGGAAAGAATACAAAAAAAAAAGCGAAAAATATGAATTAAACGGTTTACCCATATGTAAGACATTAACGAGCAACATTCGCTTCAGCGATTTTCTGTATAAAGCCCATTCATGATCGGCACCGTCTCGCTGATAACCATTCATAAATCTTTAATTTTTGTCTCATCAGTCACGAAAAAAGTTATTTTGCATACTGACCACATATACATATTCATATAAGTCCTAGAGAGAAATGGCATCTTTTGATTAATCAGTACTTTTTTGTCATCCTCCCATCTGAGAGCTTCTTCAACCCTGTTGAAACTGATTTTTGGCTTTTTACGTAGTTTAGCGCTTCGCTAGCAAATTGTGCTATTTTTGAACGAATCTGGCAACTCACTTTTCACACACGGAATAGTGGATACTTTCTAAGTAGAAAAAAGTTGAATTACCAACCCAACTCCAGGATAGGGCGCTGACACAAAAACAATTATAATAATTCTCATGAACTGCAATTGCATCAATGCAAGAAAAACCCAGGCTGGAACGCACCAGGCGGGCCGGTGCGATTATGCGTTTTTGCACTTCTCGTG